AGGAATTAAAAAGGTAAAAATAATAATATGGGTTCATAAAGATCATCAATATATAAATAAGTCAATAAAATAAGTAGTCATGTAAGAAAGAATGTTATAATTATCTAAACACTATTTTATTTCTTAATTATTACAACGAACAGTTAACTAAACACTATTTGATAAAGTAACGTTGTTGACTTGTCTATGCATGAGACTATGAGGTATAAAATGGGGTACTAGCTAATTTGTGGTTGCAAAAAAAGTTGTCCCAAGTGTTAACTCAAGTCTTTAAGTCAGTGTTGGTAGATAGTACCACTTTCGCATCACCAAAACGCAACTTGTGGGCTATGGATGAGTACTACTCACTTCTAACAACTTGTTACTCATATTTTGTAGTGTTCCACAAGACTTTTTAGAGGACGGAGAAGACTTAACAAAATAATACTCTCTATGTCCTAATTTTTCTCTAGATGTTGAGTTCATTTCGAGGTCATTAACTATCGCTGCAGTGTGTGTTAGGCAAGATGATGTGAAGTTGGTCCCATTATGTGGAATTTTTTTTTGCAAAACTTCTAAGAAATTTGAAAGGATTGCTTAAACTGAAGCAAAGCAGAAGCTTCAGTGGGAGAGCAAAGATGATGCTCAAAGGAAGAAGAAAAGCATTCACTTATTAGCAACACAAAACAGAGAAATGAATAAAAGAAAAACAGACTCATGGCCATTTTTTGTTTGTTTGTTTTCACCAAATAACAGGATGGATGTTCTTCTTACAAATCAATCAGTCTTATCCACACATATATATACTAGTTTCTAAGTGTCCTATGTAAATTGAATACCTATAACATACTGATTAATGTAATCCTACGAGTAAAGTTTCAAGAAGGTAGGATATACACACACCTTTATGAAGTAAGAATACAAACAACAAAAAATTTCAATGAAAATATAATATAAAGTTGGAATAATCAAATCTTACTCAAAACATTAAGAAGATTATACAATGATATTGAAATAATTGCGCTGAATTTGATAAGTTGATATAATAATATTAAAATAGTATTGATTTCGCTACATCAAAAATGATTTATAACGGCAATTAATTAAGTTTAATTGCCGCTAAATATGTATTTTTTAACGGCAATTAACACTCTTTGCATATGTCCCTAAAGCCTTTAGCGACATTGGATCTAATGACACTTAACTAATACCAATAAAATCTTTTAACACTCTTTATTAATGTGTATATTTATTGCCGCTAAAAGTTATTTTTGTTGTAGTGTTTTTTGCAGTGCTTGTAATTCAAAGAATACACCAAAAACAAATTTGATCTTTTTTTTAACACCCAACAATTTATTTTGCATAATGCAAAAGGTTTTACCGTTTGGTAGACTTTAGAATATTTAATAATGAAAAAATAAAAACAGTAATAGGAATAAAAAGGTAAAAATAATAATATGGGTTCATGATGATTGTCAAGATATAAATTGTAACATCCGGCAATTTGAAATAACTGTGAAGAGGCTTAGAATTGGGAATAGTCATTTTTGGAAAGAGTTTAAAAATCTGGAAAATTTGGTTAAGTATGGGAAAAGTGAGTTTTTGGCCAACTTTGAACAGTCATAACTCCTACATCAGCATGAGTTAGGTGTAGTTCCAGTTATGTTTGCGAATCCCGTGGAATGATCTTTCCAACGCCGCTGAGTTTTCTTGATTCCGAGTTTGTATGAGTGAGTTATGCCCTTTCGAAGTTGCGCTGTTGGCAGGGAAGTTAGTCCGAAAATTGTAAGGGTATTTTGGTCTTTTCCCTAATCAATTCTTTTGGTTATATTAAGGGTTTAGACTGATTTTTAAATCAGTTTTTTCTTTTTAAAAGTGAGTGTTAGGGTTGTGAGTGAAGAGAGAAAGAAGAGGAGAAAGAGAAGAAGAAGCAAACTCCGTAAAGATCGTCGTGGTTTTCGTCGGGGGTGATCCCTACTAGATATGTGAGTTCATAGTGTTGGGTTCATTCTTTCCCGCACACGCCAAACTCATTTTATTTCCGAGAAAAGATTGATTGTGTTTGTTGAAGTTGTTGATTGTGGTTGTTGAAGTTGTTGGTTGTGATTGTGTTGAAGTCGTTGTTTATTTGGGGCATGTTTCCGGTTGTGTTTCCGGGTTAAATCTATTGTATGTTGAGGGGTTTTATGAGTCTAAGTGTTTGGGGATGAAATCTTTGAAGTTAAGGTGGTTTAGAGTTGGAAAAACAAGGGAGAAAAGTCGAGTTTTCGGGAGAAGGGGTGGCGCGTCGCGCCTGCCAGCGCGCCCCAAAAGGGACTCTGAAGTCCAGCCCTTGGGGAGGCGCGCCTAGCAGTGCGCCCCAGCTGCTCCTCTGAACTTTGTGGTCTGGCGCTCCGCGCATCTCAGAGAGCCAAGGACCCCAAGTTTTCCCATTCATTCCCCAATCTTTCATACATGTTCCTTGATAATGTACCTATGTTTTATAGTTGTTTTCAACACTCCAAGGTACGTCTAAACGTCAAGAACTCATCCATAAACGTGAGATCATTACCCTTGAATTCATAATCCAATTCGAGGAAAGTTTGGATCAAAGTCAAGTAAAGTTAGAGTCAATCTTAGAAGTTAAGAAGTAAGTCCAAGCAAGTCTTTAAAGTTGTTCAAGAGTCTTTATTGAACGTTTTAACTTTCATTTTAAGGCTCAAGTTTCAAGTCAAGCAAAGAGTATAGAGTTTCAAGTTAAGCAAATAGTATAGAGTTTCAAGTTAAGCCAAGAGTATAAGGTTGAGTTCAATTCTCAAAAGTTATTAGGGAACTAAGTATTCCCAAAGAAGTGCTAAGGAAATGTTTTTTTTGAGTAAGAAAGGAACTATGATTCCAAAAGAGCCTTTGGGCTAGTTTTCAAGAAAAAGGAACATCGATTCCCAGTGAGCCTTTGGGCTAGATTCTGAGCAATTATCTCAAACTAAAGAAAGATGTGTTTAAAACACTTATGAGCTAAAGTATATTTTGGAGTAGTCTTGAGCACCGAGTTGGGGACACGAGTTCATATTAACTCAACTCTCCATAAGAACCATGTAGCCAAACATGGGATTT